TTATTTAGTGTACATACTAGCGGCTTTAGAGTTTTTGATCTTCTTCTATACATTGAATAATTGAAGTTACAGCTTTATTTTTCAGAAAAATATATCACAGTAGTAAAACTAAAACATATGTTCTCTCACGAAGAATTTATTAAAAGTACTTAATAATAATTTTTTTAGACTTCACTCAGAAAAAAATGCTCTAACTACATACTGGTTAAATTGACCTATAATTTTGTTGGAAAAACTATAACTCAATTGGTAAAGAAGATATAAAAGTCAACATGTGGTATAGTTGAACCCACATGATGTGTCGAGAAAGAATATTTTGACCTGAGATTTAAGTAAAATTTAGTTAAATCAACCGAATTCGGTTAATGATTGTTGGAACTTGTTTTCAAAGTATATCACAACATCGATAGTCATTTTTTAAATTTTTGGCCAAACAACTGACTAGCATTATATTATAATGAATAATGAATAATATAATGTATATTATTAATTATATTACATTTTAACTTAAGTTTTGTTATTTTTCTATATTTTATTAACATTGCTATAAATAAATTTTAGACATATCCCTTTATATCACATCGCTTTCTATTGATATATATTTACATTCAATTTAGTTTAGTGAAAACAAAACAAATATTCCTGGTACAACAAACGCTAAATGCCAAGGCAATAAAAACAAATTTAGTAACTTTATTTTATTACTATTTTTAGTTTTAGTGTTTGTTGATTAAACCTGTAAGGACATCACCACAATTAAGGACCTATTAACCTTTAGCTATGTATTGTAAAGTATAGTAAATATAGTATGTAAAAACAGTAAAATGGAAATAACATTACTATTTCTATCTTAATTGCTAGTATACTTACTCCTCAATATGCAAATGTTATGTTCGCTTACTAAATTTGCTTTACGAAAATACACTTTCTTTATGCCGACATCCTTTAGTCTATTAAAACCGAAACACGTATATCCTTTCCTTTTAGGGATATACCAAAAAAGTTAAGTTTTAGAACTCATAAAATTAAATTGAATAAAAAATTATATCTAAAATTTGAGCAATAATTTTATTGTTTCTATTTTCGTTGGAAACTAATGTTAACATGCAAAAAACATGACCAAAAGTGGAATTATGTTGAAAGCTCATTGCCGAGGACACGAAAATGAAACTTTATAAAAAAGAAATTAAACGAATAAATTATTCGCTATGAATAATTAATGACTGCACTTGCACTATACTTAACACTTTATTGAAATTTCTGCTGGACAGCAGATATTGAAATTCAAAGTTGCAAACATTTTTTGAGTGGCGGCGTGAGGGTTGTGGGTAGAGGTGTGGGGAGAGATGAGTGAGTTGCAATTAAATTATTTATGTTTATGTCATTAGTAGATTGGTTGAAATTGTGACGCCAATGCTGGCAATTACTTAAAAGTGTCGCTGCTTATATCGATGTCTGCTGTTATTCGAAGGACCAAAGGATAACCATTTCCCAAACGTGCTTTAAATTTTATTTAATGCTTTCGCTTAACTTTGTAGCAAAAAGGAATTAAGTAGATAATTATTTTTGCAGTTGTCGGAATTTTCCATTTCCATTGCTGCTTTCAATATGCTAAATAATAGATATGCATTTCAAAGTTCTTAAGAGCTATTATTCAAGGTCTAGACATGAAAAGTGTATATTAATGTTTTCCGTTTTTCATTGCACGTTTCAGCAGGAAGCACGCAAACATATTTAAATTTTTCAAGAATTTTTGTGTAGTGGGAAATGCTTTCCATTTAAGTTTTTCATTTTATGTTCTATTTTGCATTGTAAATCTTATTTTTATTTTAAACATTTAAATTTTATTTAATGCTAAAGCTTTAAACTTTAAGTCTAACATCGAAATTGTAGTACTGCTAATTTTTTTTTATATAACAAACTGCAAGTTTTGAAAAAAAAATATTCTTTTGCTAGAAATTCAGTAATTTTATTCATTAAACCGTATTTTTTTTTAAATTTTTCACATTATTATTAGTAATTAATACGATATAAATAGTCCACAAAATCTAAAATAAAGATAATGTATATATTTTTCATATATAGTTTCTTCAACAATATCTTAGGTTAAGTTAGGTTGGAGTGACGGCATTGTGTACCAAGAAAGCCCACTTCAGTTCAAATAATGGCCCCTTGTGGTACCACAGGAATAACGTTGCTTCGTAAATAAACCATAATGTCAGTATACGAATAACGTCGAAAAAGGCAAGCACTCCCCCCGTAGGTAAAAGTAAACTAATGTGATAATTCTATGAATCTGAGTAAAATCGTAATATTGCAGAATGACAGGTCAGTCAGATCAGTAAAGAAAGTAAGGAACATGGGCACTGACACATAAGATGACATGAGTTCCATTGTCATGTTTACACTCATTATCCTTTTTTAACGTTGCAATGCAGGATCGACTTTGACTTCTCTACTATTTTTCCCGTTATTCTTTGTTTCATACTCTATTGACTAGTTTCTATATCTAATAACTCTTGTGTTATCTCTGTATTAAAGATGCCGTTTTTGTTGACCGTTTGCATAAGGGAACTATATTTATTACTATTAATGCCTAGTCAATAATCATTCTCTTCAAACAATCATTATACTTAAAACATGACCAATGCATCTTAATCTCTAAATTTCGATGTATAATAATAGCTGCGATTCAACAAACAATGGTTATTATAGTTTAATGTGGAATATGTGTATGTATAAAATACTAATGAAACCTATTGAAAAATATTATTAGCATTTTTTATATCATACAACAACAAAACTAGGAAGAAATAATATTACAGATTCCACACTGCTTAAGCCGGGTCATTGTTTTTCAAACCACAGCTAGTACCGTCGTCTTAAATTAACTTCAACATTCTTATTTCTTATTAAGAACTTTTCGTATTTGCTTAAATATTTGTCCTCCGAATCAGTCACTCTTCACACTTCTAATCGTTGTTTTCTGTCTTATTTCTTATTAAGAAGTTTTCGTATTCGTTGAAAAATTTGCATTCTGAATCAATCAGTGTTCGCAGTTCGGATCCAAAATTGTTTTGTATAACCTTAAGTTGCTCATTCTCGACAATTACCGAAGCTACTTAACACTTGTGGTTACAGAGTACATAATGTCCAGCAGAGGACCACTCCTCTGTGATGAACTCCACAGTTCCCTCTCCTATTGATGAAACGTGAGCGATGGTGTAAAGAGAATTTAAACTGATCAGTAATACTATAGTAAATATTAGGTGTACCGGTATGAAATGAGCGTTTTTTGGTGAAAATAAAACACTAATTATTAATAGGAAAGTAAAAAACATTTTATTCAAAGTATTGGCCATTGCTTTCTACACATTTTGTCCACCTTTCTGGCAATTTGTAGATACCACGCCAAAAAAATTGTTCGTCTTTTAAAGCAAACCAACCAGACACCCAATTTTCGACCTCCTCGTAGGAATCAAAGTGCTGCTCAGCCAATGCGTGTCCCATCGATGAAAACAAATGGTAGTCGGAAGGAGCCAAGTCTAGTGAATACGGCGGGTGGGGTAGCAGCTCCCAGCCAAGTGTATTGATTGCGTCCTGAACCCGTTTTGCTTTGTGTGCAGGTGCATTGTCATGGAGCAGAATTACCTTGCCGTGTCTTCTGGCCCATTCTGGTCGTTTCTCGATCAATGCATAGTTCAAATTTATCATTTGTTGTTCATAGCGACCAGCATTGACGGTTTCACTGCATTGACGGTACTATACCGGTTGCAACAGTTGAGCAGTTTCGCTTCATGACTACTTAGCGACTCAAGATAGGAAAATAATTATCGTCCTTTGATGTTCGTAATATTGCAGTTCATACTTGATGAAGTGATCACCGTACAACCGTAGATTTTAGATTGTTTATCTCTCATCTAATTTAGTAAATTTATTTAATTTGTGCAAATATTCTTTTTGTATTATGATTCATTCTTGGACAATTTTTGGCTCATTTTTAAAGGTTTCTATCTTACTATGCAGTATTCTCTGTTTTCCTCATTCTATTTGTATTTTCCATTTTTAATTCATTTTATTTTTCTTTCATTTTTTTGCTTTGTTGAAACTGAAAATAGTATATTTTATTTATAACTTTTAATAATCACTTCTTTTATTGTCGTACCACTAGCTCAGCTTATGATAAACAACCTTTCATTATGATTATTGTTGCATTTTTAATGCCAAATTGCAAATTTCTTGTGTGTCTTTTAAGTTTTTTGGCAAAAGCACAAATACGGAATCTTTATCCTTTTTGCAAGGCAACAGCGACTTCCTTGAATTTAGGAAAATATTTTTGCAACGTTGCAAAACATGTTTCTCAATGTTCGTTGCAGTGTATTTAGTCCTTGTTATGGCTAAAGGCTGAAGCAGAATTTGGCAAAAATGTTGCCTTGTCTAAACACAACGGCTAGAGGAGCGCTTTTCGGTGCTTTTCGGTTGCCAAGCAAACATTGCATTTTACTGCAGTCTATTTATTTGCCAACTATAACAATAACAAATAATAAATAAATCGGATATAAATAGGAAAACGTACGAGTGGAACGTGTGCCGCATGCGATTTCGTGTATCGGGGAATGCAATTGCGTACTCCTTTGCCAGTGCAGCAGCGGCAGCGAGCGACTTGGTAGGCGAATAATTTATTTGCATTGCCACTTAATACCGTTGGAGCTGTCTTGGTCTGGTCTAGTCGATGTTTTTAAAGGCGTCGTCTGTATGGGCGACATTGGCGTCGCTTGTGACATATTTTTCGTGTGATAAAAACAAAAAGAAGACATCAACACGTGCAGCATATTCACACAGTTAATGTCTGGAAGGCCAAATATATAAAATAAAAAAATAAAAAAAATGTGTGAAAAATATTTTTATCTGTTAAAATTTGTAGTGTTGTGTTGCTTGTCTTAAATTAACCTTGAGCTAATTTTACACTTAAGAAAAATAATTTTTTAATTTACTTGCAGCTGAAACATAGACGACTGACTGCTACCAGTCGAGTGGAGTTGACATTGCAGGTGAATGATTGTGCGCTCAATTGAAACTCTGCAAATGTTGCTGCAATTTTAGTGCTATTCAAGTGCACCGCTAATACAGAATCACTGAAAGGCAAACGAATTAAATTGTTGGTACATTGTAATGACGCCAACATGCATAGCAACAACACCTTCTCATGTTCCAATTTAAGTGTTGCAGCAGCAACATAAGTTTAATGTCATTTAACATGGTTTAGTGCGTTTGGCTGCGTAGCGCACATTTGCCCCACTCCATAAGCAATGAGAGCACAGACAGAAGTCGCAGAAATCCTAGCACATCATCAACGCGAACAGAACACAAAGACAGATTTTGAGGAAAACAAAAGAAGCTCAACTGTCATAGACATTCCAAATGCAAACAGAATCGTTGACGCTGTCGAGTTCGGTATTTGTCACACAAATTTGGCTGACAATTGCATGCATGCATCACAGATTCAATATCTCAATGTGGAGCCATTGTCCATGTTTGCATATGGCGCATATAGCGCAAATAGCGCCCATCATCTGACAGATTTGCACTGCAACAGAATAAAAAATGGCAAAGCTGTTGAAGCAACCAATAAAGCACAGTTGGGGCTCGAGAAGAAATATTTGAGTACTGAATTCAAGCGCTGCTGCCCAACACCAATTTTCATTATCTTAATATCGTTGTTGGAGGTAAGTAATTGTTGTAAATATTATATACAATTAAATAACTATTTATTTTCAAAATGTTCAAAAATTAAATTTGCATTTAAAATTAGTCACATTAAATAAAATTCCTCAATCAATTGCCAAAACGAAAAGCAATAACGACTCTGGGTGGCGCAAAAACCGTTACTCGGTATCCAGCCTTTTTTCGAATAGCAAATAAACATCTAAGACTCAAGTTAACATGTTAGCATAACATGTGGGGGCTGTTTCATAAGTTCAATGTGTTCTTTTAAAACAGAAAAACTAAAATAAAAAAAACATGACCATAAAATATGTTCAAAAACGAAAAAAAACATCAAAAAAAGTCTTCAAACCTTGCATGGTTGGCATAAATTAGGTTGCAGATAAGCATATATTCAAAGCTTTTCAAAGAGCCCAAATGGAGGAGTCTAAATGCATAAGTAAATGTTATAAAAATGTTCAGCATTAGCAAAAAAAAGTACGCGCAAGTGGAATGAAATACCGCTCTGTGCTTGCATGACCTCATGTGCTGCATTGGCAACCCTGCCGCTGTTTTGCCTTAGATGTACTTTTTTTTCCACTTAAAGTACAAAATCAGTTTTACTGCGGTAAGCGTTCCAAATGAGTGGGCAGTAGAAAAATTGCTAAAACTACCCTCAAAATTAATGTTATCATCGTCTTAAAACCAATTTCATTATTTTCGTTTTTATTGCATTTATTTTTGATCCAAACAACGTTAAAATTGCCGAAAGAATTTGATTAAATCGGTTAAGGAAATGTATTCCCCATGGTGCACTTGAGCGTATGAGTGCTTTTGGGAATACGTGTTAGGTACGACAATTGTACTTGTTAGCATTTTTCCTATTAATGGTTCTAGAAATTTGGAAGGTGAGTTGTGGCAATGACGAAACATTGTAGAAAAATTGTTGATTTCATTAAATTGAAGTGTTTCCAGCACGCACGCCTACAATGAGTAAAGCGTAAGCACATTTGGGTTGTGGTTGACCGATAGTCGTAATAAAATAAATTGAAAAAAATTGCATTATTTGGTCAATAATTGCTTCTGTAATGTTGTCAACATAACAAATTTAAGAATAAAAAAAAATATAAAAAAAGTATTTACCATATTATTTCTAGTATGACCAATAAATATGTAAAAATATTGAAAAAAAAATATTCAATTCCAGCTTGGGGAGTGAAAAAATATTAGAAAGTTGAAATGTTGTACTACCATATTGTTTCTAGTGTGGTAGGTAGGTAGGTTGGAGTGGCGGCCCTATTTGCAAAAGCCCACTTAAACACAAATGATGACCCATTGCACACCACAGGAATAGCATTGGTACGTACATAGATTTAAATTAGTATATATTCAACGCCGAAAAAGGTAACGATTCCCCCATCAGGTAAAGGGAAACCAAATTACCCTCCCTGCTTCAACTATGCAGCACATGCTATGTCCCTTCAATTCATGCTATGTGACTAGGTACAATCTATAATGACTTTTTTAGGCTTTCGGCTAAAGAGGTAACTAAGAGGTAACTGTAGTCTACTTCATGTCAATGTCCATTATTGGTTAGGAAAAGAATTTAAAACTCCCGGTGGCCTTTACCGAACTATCAGAACTGTTGTCCTACAAAATTGGCCAAGTTTATAGACTTTGCAATAAAGAGTTTTTATTTCACTTGCAAAAATATGAAAACAACAGATAATGCTTGTCTTATAAAAGATGTATTCAAAATACTTTTTTCAAATCAAAACAGGTCCTAGAGTGTTACGAGCTTCTGCAATCACTTGCAGCTCGGAATAAGGTAAGCCTTTACTGGGTTCCGGGCCACAGAGGAGTTTTGGGAAATGAAAAAGCTGATGAGCTAGCCAGAACTGCATCAAAAACTGTTTTTATATTCTCTCAACCCTTTTGTGGATTAACTGGGCCATTACAAAACAGATTATCAAGGAAATGGAAAATCATATGCGGCTGAGTACTGCGTAAACTTTCCAGGACTCAGACAAAGCAAATCACTGATAACACTGTACTCCTACAAATACATTCTTAAATTCTCAAAATGTGATTTAAGGTTGATAACGGGTTTCATTATGGTCTGAAATATCACCTTCATAAACTACAATTATCTGCTAACTCGGAATGCAGATTATGCCTCGAAGATGAGGAAACGATCATGCACATTCTTTGTGACTGACCAGCTTTAATAACGCACAGAAGAAACCTGTTTCATAAAGAATTTCTGTCACCAAAATAGATTAAGAACTCTTCTCTGGATTTAGTTCTAGACTTTATTCACAAAGCTTTAAGGGGCTTTGTTTAATCAATAGTGAAACTGTTACAATATGTCTCTTCTGGCCACAGTACCGGCTGTTGGGCAATTTTCACGTCTACTCTTTAATAATAACGATTTTTTAAAACTTAAAATTTTTTCTGCTTAAAAATTGTACCTATTTGAAAATCTTTACTTATTCGTCGTCAGACAGTTAAATAGAAGAAATGATTGGAAATAATGTCTCTAAGCAAACATAAGCCACCAAAGTTATCTTCACTGTTATTATATATCTGTTATACTAAAAGTTTAGGAGGAGTATTTAGCAAATTCATTCAATTTAGAATTTCATTAAAATAAAATGGTAATAACACTTTAAAAGCTTTTTCTGATATCATACTACATTATCTAAAAATTATGACACCTATTAACATTAAACTGATTTATGGTACGAGAATAAATTGAAAGAGTCTTTTCTCTTATAAATAAATTTTTTTCAATATTCTTCAGAAACGAATCATTTTCATAAATTTTTAGTATTCTATGCTCTACGTTGAATACTCTTTTTTATTAAATTAAGTGGATGTGAACTATTGAGAAAGTGCTAATCCCCTTAAGAATAAAAGTTTAAACAGAAAATGCAATTGATTCCAGTTGAAATAAAAATTTAACTAAAGTGAGTGACAGACATGATTTATTTGCTGCCACTTTATTGATTCAACCAGACTTAAAGGAGACAACTGAACATGCTTGGTCACACAAGTGGAACTTACGTCTACTGTTTGGATATGGGTTTGGGTTGGGAACAACGTAAATACAGTACTTGCCACGTCCACCAACAATCGCTTGTGTGAAATCGAAAGCTACTTACTGCAAAAAAGTGAAATATTGAGCACAATTGTTGACTAAGGGTTAGTCTGATTGGGTTGCCATATTCCATTTCACACGTGAATAATGCAAACCCAATGTAAAAAAAATTTAAAAAACAGTGCTCAAATATCACAAGCGAAGCTATAGAAAAATTTAATAAATTTGCTTAGACTGTCTGCTGTGGTTGAAAACAGAAGCGTAAGCACACATAATTTAATTGGAAATATTCAAGTCATTGTGGACACCTAACTGACAGGCTCGCCACATCAGACAGGGTCAACAGTACTGCAGTCAAGCAGAGAACGATAATGCTTAGCACCGGTACGAGCAAAGTGCGTATTAGAAGGGTAACAAAGTGGAAACATAACGTAACACTCACGAAAACTAAACAGTCTAGGTTTGGTCTACGCTCATAGTTTACATGGCATTCAAGACTGTCTAGTCTTGGCTATTGAGAAACTTTTGCACCAATACGTCTCGGGCGGCGTAACTAATAGGAAAATAGTTCATATGTCTACGCATGAAGCACACATCTACATCATTGCTAAGGGAGTCACAAGTTACGTGTTTGTCTGACACAAAGTCTGGACGGCAAAATAGCAGAAAATATAGTCTGCTGTATTATTTAATGGGGCGAAACATAATGGGGTTGGAGCATGACTATACTTCTAGGTTTTTTTTTCCGAAAAATCTTTTTTTTTGTGGGTTTTCATTTGTATTTCCTACGAATTTTTTGCCATAGTTTGTTTGCCACGTTGCTACGTAAACATAAATAATTTTTAAGCCAAACAAACTGTTTGCATAAATTTCATATCGTGCCGCAAACATAGCCACACTTCCGCATAGATTCTATAAGCAAACGCTGAAGCTGAATTGCCAAGATTTTTTCTTCGAAATATAAAAAAAATATTTTGGAAATTAATAATAAAATCACGCTCAGCTACGTGAATATTGAATATTTTCTGTTGCTTGTGGCCAAGAGATTTTCTACTCAACATCAATTTTGCATATTTTAGATGTAATTTATAGGTTTTTGGCAATATGCTTATCAAAATTTATTATTTTAGAATTTCAACAAGTATTTGAATTATATGAAAAAATCATTATTAATGTCAAATAAAAAAATACTTCCTTCCGCCCCTTTCACTTTTTACTATTCATTTTAACAGATCGGCGTCTTCGTCTTTGACTATCTGACGGTAGCTCCAGTGAATGAATTGAGCAACAGTAATGTACCCAGTGAATCGGTGTTTATTTATCGACCGGATCGCCGTCTGGAGATTTGGCGTTACGTATCTTACATGTTGTTGCATGCGAACTGGTTTCATCTGAGCTTCAACATTCTGATTCAACTGCTCTTCGGTGTGCCCTTGGAATTGGTGCACGGTTCGTTGCGTGTTGCTGTCATCTATTTGGCGGGTGTTTTTGCTGGATCGTTGGGCACTAGCGTTGTGGACTCGGAAGTGTATTTAGTCGGAGCTAGCGGCGGCGTTTATGCACTACTAGCTGCACAATTAGCAAGTATTTTGTTGAACTTTGAACAAATGCGTTACGGTATCTTACAGTTGATGTCAGTGATTATTTTTGGTAATTTAAGAAATAACTTGCTTTATATAGTATCTATTAAATAAATAATTTTTCTATATATAAACATTATTTTGCATTTATTTTTAGTTTCCTGTGATTTGGGCTTCGCATTTTATACAAAGTATTTTTCAACTGAAATTAGAGGTCTGCCTGCAGTTTCGTATATCGCTCATCTGACGGGTTCCTTGGCTGGCTTCACAGTGGCACTTTTAATATTGAAAAATTTTGAGAGTAAGACTCAATCGAAAGTGATTTGGTGGATTGCTTTAAGCTCCTATTTGACATTTACAATATTCGCGATTGTATTCAACTTACTAAATACAATGACTGCACAAAGGCTTGAAGAAGAGGGCGAGGAATTAAAACAACATTTGTTACATGATTTGGGTATTTCCTAGGTGAATTAATGCAACTTTATAAAATTTTATAAACTTTTTAAGAGTTACTTTTAAGGTTACATTATATTTTTTAATTTATTAGTTCTCATTAAACATTTAATTAATTTTGCTAAGTATAAATTACCACTAGCAGTATTCTAACTCTGTATTAAAGAACTCTTAAATATATCTTCTATTCTTATTTTAACTTACTGAAACCCAAAACATTAAATAAATAGTTGTGATATTGCCAAAGACTGAAATATAGCAAACTGAAAATAAACTACAAAATGAGTAAATATTTTATTATAAGAACTTTAAGCATCTCATATATATATAATATTTCAAAAATTGGTCAAAAAGACCTTAAACTATAAATTAAGAAAAAAAAATAAATTGCTCAATTACTTGCGAGGAATATTTTCTTGTAGATTAAGTAAAATATATGCAGTAGATTAAATTCCTTTTCTTCATTTAAGCTCAAATTCAAAAAAGAAAAAACGTAAGATATCAAAATTTGTTAAAAAAAATAAAATTAAATAAAAAATAAAAATTAAATTTATCCCAATAACATAATAATTTAATATCATTTGTCTATTTGGTATCCAACCATTCATTTTATTATCAATCATTTTTATTAATTTATTATTTGAATGAACAAAATTTTTTAATAATGATTTTGTTTTTTAAAATGGGCTAATTTATTATTAGTTGCTTAAAACACTTTTTAAAGAAAATTTTAGTTTTTAAAAAATTTTATTTAAACAATATTTCGACTATATTCTATAAACATCTTCAGGGTACTACAATATTCTTAAAGAATTGTATAGTAATACAATGCACATTATAAGAACATTGTATTACTCTGAAGATGACTATTAAGTATAGTCGAAATTTTTTGTTTAAATAAAATTTTTTAAAATTTAAAATTTTTTTTAAAAAGTGTATATTTTAACTATTGACAAATTAGCCCGTCTTAAATACACAATTATTATATCAATAATTTTTCAATAAACTTGAATAGATTAAATGATTGTTATAGAGTTTGGTTTTTCAAATTATTTTACAGCCAGGAAATGCATAGAGGTGATATATCTATTATTCCATTTTAGGTTTTTTTTCTTTTCTTTCTAAACTATACGCCTGCTAACCCATATGTCAATAAGAAAGAATTTATAAACAGTTTTGCTTCTAACTATCTTATAATCTGAAAAATTTAAAACTCATAACTAGAATCTAGAATATATGAACTTCTTATAACAAAACTAGTCAAAACTGTATCTGCATATGTTACATGTAATACTAATATATATAACTATATCATATAAATGTAAGGGATAATATGAAATATATATTCTGGATATGTAAATTTAAAATTTTTAACATATATATATATATATTTAACCATTTCAATACATAATGAAATACCAATAAATTGTATCAATAAATATATCAATAAATTGTATATTAATTTTAATTTCTCAATATCAATTTAATTAGAAAATCTGATTTCAAAATATTAAATAAAATACTGAGATTAGATTATCAAAATTGCAATAAATCATTCTACTAATACCAAAGATATTATATTAACAAATTGAATGAATTAATATTGTAAGTTGTAAAATTTTAAACTTATTCAAAAGTAATAAAAAATTTAAAATATAATAATAATAATAATCGTTATTAAAATTAATATTGTTTAAAACCATTATTTATTAAACTAAATTATTAATATTTAAATATGATAAAATTAATTCATTTTACAGAATCTTTGCTCAATTTTTATATATTGTAGTTAATATATTATTTCAAATTAGAAACTGATTATTTATTATGAAACTATCTATTATCTATTATTCTGACTTTGTAACAATAAACAATATTAAAATAAAGTTTTGCTTTATGTTAAAAACGTGGTGGGAAATTTATTTTCCTAAAATGTAAGTATATAGTATATAAAATTATGGCTTTGCATTTTTCACAGGATCTACTGGAACTAATATATATATATATAAATATTTAGTTTTTATTTTAAAAACTTAAATGCATAGAATTAAAACTATTTGGTTATCGTTTATGAAGTCATAAATGTTTCCTGACTATGATGTTTTCTGATATTTTACGATGAAACGATTCTGTCACACTCTGTATCTCTATAAATATTTAAAATTAATCTCTCGACCCACACGATTTTTTTACGGTTCTTCGGACAAAGTGTTACCTCCCAAGGTTAAAACAAGTGGATTAACATAATTAATTCCTACTGTTATTAGAAATATTTCTGTGTAAATTTGTAGATGATATTATAATTTTAAAAATAGTTGAAAAAATTTTAGTAAAGGAAACTATTTTTTAGCAATTTGCTTAAAATCGGTTCCAGAACAAAATCAACGAGTTGTTGAATAGTCTTTAATAATTTTATTTAGTTTGTTCCTGATTATTTATTTTTATAGCGAAAAATGTCTGTCACATCTATATAGATATCAAACCTTCTTTATCTCGAAACTACAAACCAAATTAATCAAAATAATTCCAAATAATTATTTCAGTAACATCTTAAGAAACTGGTAGCCGAGACCAATCTTGAAAAATCGAACATACGAATAAGTAGAATATACACTACATAAGGATTATTACAACATTTTTACACAGGATTCTTATACTTACCCGCAATCTCTAGAAGTCTTAGGTTCGTTGTAGATCGTAAACGACAAGATTGTTCTCATGCCAGCAGAAAGTAACTTATAGCAACTATAAGATCATAACAGTCTGAACATAGTGCTATAATTAAGTTAGGGCGCGACCTAAATCAACAGTCAACACCTTCGCTCTTAAACATCGATGATCGATTTTAAGTTTTCAATGTAAAAGATTGAGATAAGTATATTTATTAAAAAATAATATAAATATTATAATAAATAACATTATAAATAAATATTAAATAACCTACTTAAATAGGAATTATAAATAAAATTGTTTAAGTATGATCACGAAAAAAAATGAGATACACTAACCAATATTATCTCCGAGTATTAACCCTGTTTAAACCGTTCGCCTTCCAGATAAATCTGAGAAGATTCAACAACTCCACCTAAGTTATTTGTGCAAGGTCAATAAAGCAAGAATCTGTTAGACATTAAAATTGTTTCCTTTGAAGTCCCAGACAATGAGAGTACTTAATGGACTCTATATCCACTTCATTTTCGCAACTCCTGTATATTATAATTATCAAAGTAGGCTATCTTACATGCACGGGTTAATCACAAATTACCCCTTCAGTACTCTAGTAAGTATGAAATATAGGTTTACTAAAGTTTTCTTTTTATTCCTGCTTAATCTGGGTCAAAAGAGTCCAGCAATATTGCAATATTCAAGATTAGTTCAGAAGTTATTTGAAACCGTATTACTGAATTCGTTTATGCAGTTAACAGAATTCGTAGCGATGTGTCGACTTCACTTATTTGCATATCAGAAATACATATAAGAATGTATAGTTAGTTTTAATATATAGAATATACACAATTAGGTTTTATATTAATAGATGTTAAGATTGCTTGATTTATAACGTTTGTGATTGGTAAATATATTCAATTCAATATAGATTTACTCTTAATCTATCTACATCTAACATTCTTACAGTTATTATTTATATTTTTTATAAATATATATATCGAATCAATTTACACTTTACCTGTCAAGTCAACAGCTGTGAATTTCAGGTAATCTCGTTACTCTGCCAAAATATCTAGAGTGTTATAAATTAATACAAGTGTTATACATTTTGATCGAGACTCACCAATCGAAAATGAAAACTGCACTAAATGAGAATCTGAATTGAAAAAGTTATTCCATATATACCAATCGAAAACGGCATTAGCCTCTACCGGAAAATCTTATTTGAAAATTTTATTTGAAATCCTTTCTAAGAAAATGTCACATTTATTAGCATATTTAAAATAGCTTTTTTTCCATAATTTTCACCTTTCATTTTGCGAAAAATTTCAGGTGTTTTATGAAAAAATGCACAGTTCGCAGGAGCAAAAACTTAACAGAAAAGTTTGGCCTCAAGGCAAAAATTGCGCTGAACTTGCAAAAATAAGAAGCTGAAAATCGTAAAAAAGTGGGATCATCTGCCCTCCATTTATTCCGTTTACTACATTTACTTTTTAAAGAATGCTTTATTTAATATCCAGCAATGGCGATAGTTTTTGTTGCCTTCGAAATGTGTTCGAGTACTTGCGGCATGAAAGTTGCGCTACCGAAGGCCCGCCGCGTGCTAAGCGAAAGCCAAAAGTAATGCTGCAACCCAAAAAATGAAGTAGTCTGGATGAGAATGGAGAACGGCGCGATGCTGCTGTACAGCACTAAATTAGCCAAATTACTAGTTGCATCATTTGTGGCTTGTTGCTTCTTCATTATGCTGCATTTTTTGCGACATGCAACATAAATGCTAAATTTAAAGAGAATTTAAGACTGGAAAAAATGTGCGAATATGATTGCTGTTGCATTTGCTTGAAAGGATTAACTTTGATTGGAATTTGTTATTGGAATTTTTTTGTTTTGTTCTTTGTTAAGAATATTAAATGAAATTATTGAATTATTGAACTGTTTATCATTTTTTATTTGCATATGCAGTACGCCGCGCTCACCGCAAAAGGTTGTAATTTAAATTTCAGTTTCATTATTTTTTGCTGCATTTAATGTCCAACGCATTTTTAATAAAACAACGAGATGAAAAAGCGAGGGCCTTAAACTTTTTTTAAATGCAAATTTTTACTTAAAATTATTTCAATTAAATGCCAAAGAAATTTTGCAGCTTGCAGGAGGTTTTATGGATTTGCGCTGCGTTGCACAGAATTTTTACATAATTTTTGCCTTTTAACGTGATTTTTTATTTAAAGTTGCAGCATCTGCAACTGCAAACCGAAAGTCAATTAAATGTTAAAGAACTTGGTCAATTATTTTGAGCGACCACAAATTATTGCTGCAGACAAGATGTAATCCATTCAGGGAATGCTTTTTTATCCTTTTATTGTTTTGTATTTTTTTTTATTTTTTTGAAATTT